TATGAAATTAATTATTTTTTTTAAATTAAGGGGCTGTTTGTTTTTTAAAAAAACCTCTTAATACCCTCTGAAGTCTGAATCGGTCAGACCTTATGGTATTAAGGGTGTTTTTTTTTTCCAATTAAGAGCTTAAAAGCTCTGAATACGTCTGAATTATTTAGAGGTAAAATAAACGCTGAAAACCTCTTATTTTGGGAATCGCCTATCTGGTCTCTCTAACCTCTCCATCGCCGCTTCTCTCAAGCTCTAGATTGAATCGCATTCAAGCTCTCGATTGSTCTHTGACCGTAACCTCTCCATCGCTGCGTCTTCTACCTCTCGATCTCTCTCTCTCAAGCTCTCGCCGACCGTCTTCTACCTCTCGATCTCTCTCTCAAGCTCTCGTCTACCGTCTTGTACCTCTCCATCGCTCGATTTACGGTATGCATCTCGATCTCTCAAGCTCTCTATCTCTCGATTTAAGCTCAAGCGGATTTTGCTAAATCGCATATAAGACAGCCTTTGTACAGTTTATTCAATCAAAACCTAAATCACATGTTGTATTGTTCAATTTAGTCATTGCAGACTCATCGATTTCATTTAAATCGCTTGAATGTTCATCTTCTTCACAACTGTTCTTGACCTAAATCGCATGTTACCTCTGTATTCAATTTTTGATTTGTATTGCTGTTGATCTTGATACATTTGTTGGTTTTTGCTTCTTTTTTATCATAGCAGGAAATCGATCACAGCTCAAGTGCAATCAAGGGTTCAACAAAATCGCTGACATGAGCTTTGTTCATCGATCGATTATCTCAGATATCACACAGGTTTTAGTTGGATTTGGTTTTTAATTGCACACTGTTAATTCGATATCACAAAGCTTTGACCGGTTTATTCTAACATTGCACAAAGATTCTAATCTGGAATTGATTTGTGTTTCTTGACTGGAATTGTCACCTGGTTTAAGTCCTGCTTTGTTACTATTTTTCATTTCGTGACAGATTCAGTTCTCTTCATAAAGAGGTTCATTTGATTTTAATTGTGATACGCCTACCAGTCCTAGCTGGTGTACCTGTTTGGTGGTCCAC